TTGAGTTGCCTTACTGACATAAATGAACATTTGCACGATATTCTAATTTTTTGAGTTTCACCTGTATGCCCCTTGTATTCATTTAATTATGCTGACACCTAATGAACTATGGACATAAGCCAGTCCTTTTGGTGGATTTGGGTAGTCTCTACATGTATGTTGAATGCTTTCCACCAGGTATCCAAGACAGGGGGATTTTTCTAAGCATTATGGACAGCAGTACATGAGGTAGAGGAAAGGCAAGGAGAAAGAAGCAAGCTGTGCTGGCATATTTTTATTCCTAGCATTTTTATGTACTTCCCGGGTTGGCTAGTTGGATCTTTACATGATCTGACTATTAGCAAGCCACAGTAGTGGGACTCAAGATATTGTACTCTGCTCAAGATTGCAGAAGGATGTTTCACAGTATGCATTGGTGTATCTGCCCTGAATTCGCAATGGGTTGTGTGATTTTTCTGTGTACATAGTTGCTGAGTGTCGACTCAGACAAGTTGTAACTTGTTCTCTTGTTTGTGTATACATCAAGGCCTTCATAACACCACAAGATGGATCATGCCCCAACTTCTTTTGTTTATCAAGTTCCCATAGGATGTTAATGGATGCAGCTGACTCTAGATATTGCTTTCCTGGGCTCTGGTGCTGAACCCATTTCTCATAGTAGACAAGAAAAACATAGTCAGCCTGCTTCTGCTCCTTCCTATTAATTTTGCTGGAATTAATGGAAACATTTAACCATTATGTTATCAGTGTGTCTGCTATAGGCATGGTTTGTAGCTTTCTCTTTGTAAGTTTCATAAAATATTACATTATAACTAGTATGCATGATTTTATGTACTTATTTTCCACCTCTAGTTATATATATTTTAAATAAGCATCAGGTTAAATAATAGGAAAAAATATTTTTGACAATAATATTCCACGGAGAAAGCAAGAACTGAGCTGCTGTCCATTTTCCAGAGCTGTGTCCAAAAGGGGGCTTTAGTCAATCTCTGACAGACCTACATTCTGAAGGGAGCCCCTCCGATCTCCTCCACTCTCCCAGGCGCTTCTTGAACCACTCCTGGAGAAACAAAGGAATGTTGCTCAATGAATAAAGAGGAAAGTGGGCTACCTGACACAAGACATTGAGACTTTGGCAGGCAATGATAAAACCAGTGGTGAGCTGCTGAGAGTGTAACTTTCATTAAAAAAATATGGTCATTCCATCTGGGTAAAGTATGTGTGTGGAATGGACCTTATCATTTTGACCTACAGGTAAAAGAGAAAAGTTTTGAATCCATAGTAAAAAGGAAGAAAAAAGCTTGCAGCCAAAGAGAAAAATGCTTCCTCAGTTCATTCTCTCCTCTGCTTGTTTTTTGTATTCAGGGAGGATTCGTTAGGGTTTTTTTTAAAAGAAAGAAAGAAAGAAAGAAAGAAAGAAAGAAAGAAAGAAAGAAAGAAAGAA